CGCCAGCCAAGTTTAAAGGCACCTGAATACCTATGGATAGATATTCGTTACCTTATGAAGTAAAGCAGCATAAACGAGTTGTTGTTGCGAATCAAACTGTACACATCTTAAAAGGACGAAAAGTTTCTTAGAAAATCCTTTTGAAAAAAGCGCCATAAAACTGAAATCGGAATGTTAATCAAAATGATCTCAAGCTATGTAAAATAAATAGTAAAATTTTACGGAAAAGTGAAAATATGTCAAAAAATCGTATATCGAGAAGGCAACAAATGCTATACGCAAAACAAAACAAAATGCTAATTCTTAGTGACATATGATATGCAGCATATTACGGTAAAATAAAAACGAAAACAAAGTACTAATAATAAGATTTCAATACTGATGAATTAGATATAGTTTAAATATGTTTTGTAATAATAATAACAAAGATTCAAGTGGATTTCTTTTTACAGTGTAAATTATTTTCATATGTATACATACATTCATATATGTGTGTATATTAATTATTACGTATAGGGGTATGCTTTTCTGGGGCTTTAGCGAGAGTATATAAATTTATAGATATGTGTGTATGTATATTTTTAGCATCGCCGTGATTTTGTGAGCAAATCATGTGCCAGGTTAGTTTTGCCAAATGCCTGAATAAAAGGACAAATAAATATCGGATTTATCTCAAGCCGCGTACATAAATCATATGGATGTATGAGCACAAACACAATTAAACTTCAAGGTAGTATATATGTTGAGGAGTAAATATCCGAAAGAAAAAAAAGAAAGCTAACACAAATTTTCTGATATAGGGGGGGTAACTGTTCTGTTACAAATTTTGGTTATATACTAGTAATTTGATCATTATATGTTATTAAACTATTTTTGGAGCTTCCACATTTTTACTATCCCCAACGCAAGCATTTGTCATTCGTGAATCAAATATCCATAGATGTATGGGTATATATATTCATTGAGTTATATTTACGTTTACGTAAAGTCTGCATTAAGATCAACATTATGAAACTAGTACGCCAAACTATCCAAAGTAGTCAGCAAGCAGTCACCACAACTGCTATCCAGTTGGGGGCCTTCAGCCGCGCTTTGTATTGTAACCCTGGGCTGAACCAACACCGGCTTCGCCTTGCACAGTTTCCTTGAGCGAGACAATTTTGCAAAGTAGACAAATTTACGAGTATGAATATGGTTAGCGCACGTTAATAGCGAAATTAAAACTAAAATTTTCGCGCTATTGAAAAGTGTCTCGAAAATTCTCTCTTCGCCTGTACGGTCTGTATTTTGTACTTATGATAAAATGCTGTTCGCTGGAGTTTATTTTTTGAACAAACATAAATTTTGTCAAGAAAGGCAAATATTTTTTTGCCGGAAATAAACCAGTAACCAGGTTTGATTTTCTTGAAATTTAGTACTTTGCTGGATTTGCATCATAGATCAATGGAATTTAACATGATGTCAGTATATAGTTCGACGGATCAGCTACATCCATAACGATTGCAAACTACAACTTTTATACATGTAATCTTTTTTAGAGGCATATTCACATTTTTGTGAACGATTTTGTGTAACAGTCAATCTCTAATCACCTCCAATATGTACCAAAAACGGTCATCACACTTCTGAAAAAAAAAACGGCGAATCAATTTAATTTTTATACTGGTTTTAACACATTGGGAAATAAAACGACTTTGGCTGTGATAGCGATTTTGATGATAGAAGGATTTAGAGAAATCAGCCAGAAAATAAAGCTCAAAATTTCAAGAGATAAGAGCAATCTGCTGGAGATACCAGAGTCGATGTAAGTGCAATTTGTATTCTATCTTTACATTTGCTGATAAAAAATTTATTTGTATGTAGATTCATAGGCAAATGTCGTCTTAACAAAGAAACCTTTGTAATAGTGCTGGTCATTGAAGACAAGTTAAATAGGCTGTCCGTTCCACTTGTGTTCCAACTTGCACCCGCACTCCACTTTTTGCCAGAAGGCTACTATTAACGGTCTGTGGGACTCCAGAATGTCCGTAGCGCGACCTATAGTCTCTTTGGTTATAACGGAAACGCTAAAGGCTTTTGCTTATTTGATTTGCCCAGGCTAGGTAATTTTTGGAATGAACTACAATGAAAAGCGTTTAATTGTTTTTTACTTTGTTTGTTAGCATACAATATTTATATTCCATCAACATCGATAAACCTAGCATAGATTTTTAATTTACCGAAACTCCTAATCGGGACTCATTGCTTTCATGAAGGCACATGTTTCGTGGTCCTTCAGTCTGCGATTGGCACATCAGTATGTGTAGCTGACATCACTTCTGATGCCGTCGCAATAAATACTACGTCATTACCGCTCTTGTATTTGTGTCTGCTGTCTTCATCTCTCAATGTTTCATTCGCTTTTTTCTTTATAGAACGTTCTCACTCCTAATGACCAATTGTTACAAATCTTGCATTTAGCTTTCCTTCAGCGAGTGATCTCTTTTTCTCGTTACTTTGCATTAAACGCAAACGCTTCCGTTATTTGTGCTTCGCTGCTTATCTTCATTTAGTCTTCTTCCAGCTGAAGCTTTGCAATAAGATTTCTTAAAGTTCTACCCTCATTCATCTTAGTGTTTTAAGTTTTAAGTTTTGTATATATATTATTAGCAATCTGCTTATAATTTATACCATCTTAATGTTGCCAGACAGCTTTACTCCTTGTGCCTTAATTTCAGTTGTTAACAACGATACCTTCGACGTACGAGGTGTAACAATTAAGTAATGAGACTGATTGTATTGCCGCCTTTGTGGTAACCCTGCAACCTTGAAATTTTCTTTGCTTTCTCACGGCGTCCTTGTCCTTCCCTTTGATATAATTGTCCTCGATCTAGCTTGTTTAGTCCTGCTGTGTTTCGTTGGAAAAATGAAATCAAGAGCAACGCGTTGCGATAAAATTTTGCGCTAAATTGTGCAAAACACCTTCGGAAACAAACACTAAAATTCTAAAAGTGCATTGTGATAGTGTTCTTAGTCGTTTCAAAGCTCACAATGGTGTCTCCGCAAGTTAGGAATGGTTGAGAAAAGAATTTAATAGCTGAAAACTAAGCAACTGAAAGAGAGCTACTTATCAAAAAAACTTAATGAAATATTATCATGAAAATACACAGAAGTCCTTGATAGTGCCATGCCTTGGGGACGAAGCTCCTCAGCTCCACGAACACCTCCGTCATAATCGCGGCTCCTTTGAAATATAAAAATGTACTCGTACTCAAAAGAGAAGCATAAACAAAATAATTTGCATATGTGTTAGTGCAGCCCGAAATCGTGTAAATGTATTGGTTCTTGCAGAGTTATTATAGCGATCGTTCTAGAAATGGTAAAGATTTAGGATTTGACTATGAAATCACAAAACAAGGATTAGCGAAGCGAATTTCATCCACAACCGGAAATAAGGCGAAACTACAATCACGGCTGCGAGAATCTAAGGAAACCGAAGGTGTTGACTTGAGCCAATATGAATTTTACAGCGAAGGCATCTGGAAAGGATATAGAGGAGGGAGAGACTGTTGTTTATGAGGCAAACACTACTATGAGGCTAGGCAAATTCTCCGTTGATACTCCAATTTATTCGATAGCCAGGCAGAACCAACGCTGTTAAACATCCTGTCGATACTGGTGGTGCTGGACCGATTCGTCATTCAAAATAATAAAAGAAATGAGAGTAGTGTTATCGATTCGTCGACAAGTCCATGGAGATCGCCGGTTGTACTTCGGAAAAATAAATATTACCAGTTGTGGTGCTGCGTGGACTAAATAATGTAACAAAGAAAGACAGCTATCCGTTGATGCCACTCTGGATTCGGGGACTGGTACAGAATGGATCTCAACAACGGACTTTAATAGCGGTTATTGGCAAGCGCAAGTAAATGAGGAAGATACGAGGAATACAGCATTTATTGCTAGTAAAGGCTACTGCAGTTCACCGTGAAGGACTATGTAACGCACCCGCCACTTTTGAATAATTAATGGACCTTGTGCTGAAAGCTCTACATTAGAAAATATGTTTGGTGTATATAAGCAACGTCATCTTATTGGGTTAAAGCTTCGAAGAATTTGGAAGAACTTTTCCTGAGAATGGCTGGCACTGGTTTTAAGTTTAATCCTAAAAAGTGATTTTCAAGAGGCAGGGAATCAGTTAGGCCACCGTGTATAAACAAATGCTGTAAACACTGCCAAGAAAAACTAGAAGCGATGGAGGATTGAAGGCCTTCGCTAACGTTGCTAATTGCCTCTCTGTGCTAACTAGGAAAAATAGGGCTTCTGAGTTGAAAAGAAATGTGCTTGATTCTGGGTGTTCGGAAAAATCAAACGGTAGTCTGCATCTCCAATCAGATGGTATGACAGAACAACTCAACCGACTTCTGGAATAGCACTTCAAAAATAAATAAAATGTTAATTAAATGAATATGAATCATCCCCTAAATACTTACCCGAATACTTACCTGTATACAATATTTACATGCATACTCACCTCACTGAATTTACTCCCATTCCAAACATACTTACCAGCAACCCTCCTCCGTTCCGTTTTCTCTTATTCCTATAACTATGTAAAATAATAATGTATATAAATATGCATGTAATAGTAATTTCAAGTTAGAATATATTTTTATTTCGCTTGCTAAAAACTCGACGGTAGTGTCACTAATAAATATAAATTATAAATAATATAATAAAAATATATATTCTCGCTCGCTGTAAACAACTTCGTCAACAATCAAATTAAAAAAGTTAAAATATATTTTAATTTTGCTTGCTAAAAATTCGACGGTAGTGTCACTAATAAATATAAATTATAAATAATTATATNAAAAAATTAAATTAAAAAAAAAAACATACGCAACTACATTATAAACAAAATAAAAGTGAAAAAGTGAAAAATATATTTATTTATATATATTTTCATACATATATTAAAAGTGAACAAAATTATATAAAAATTTAAATAAAAAAAGGAAAACGAAAACGAAAGCAAAAGCACGTCACATACACACAGCAGACTTCGAAAATAACCTCAGCAAGTCATCCCCTTTTCAAAGTTGGTTTGTACTCGTCCGGATGCCAAAGTAAGTCCCACCAATTCTTACTTATAATATATCATTTGTTTAGCGGATTTTTCTCGTGCTGTGTATGATACCCTCTTGCCATACACATACCTAATCTCATAATTTAAATTATAATTTCTTATCGAAAGTTCGAGAAAAAATCCCAAAATTCGCTCAACAATAACATATAACTTATTATATATAATCCATCTAGCGGATCCCCCAAAGTCACTAAATGAAAAATCTCTACTTTCATGTACCGCACATAACAGGGCTCATATATAAAAACACATATACGAAAATTGCGCTTTCCCCACTTTGTATATAATAACATACGAAATTCCGCTATTTTACATATCCCGCTTCATATAAAACCAGCTGGACCGAAAACCCCTTCTAACAGAACCAGAAGCGGATCACTGCCCGCTCATTACATTATCTCTCTTATAAATATATTCCCAATATATACATACCAACTGGCCCAAAAACCCCTCCCAACGGGACCAGAACCAGACCAGTAGTACATATCACACTGTCCGAAGTTACCACCCCCATAGCAAATCACCGCTACCGAACCGTGGTATATGCATATACATACACACATATACATAAAGTGGTTTTTTCGCATTCCGGCAATTTCCACTCCTTCGCTATTTTCAATAGCAAGCAGCCAAAGATACGTATGTACATAAGTATACATACGTACATAATCGTATAAGCTAAGCAAAGCACCCAGCATACAAAAAAGGAATACGAAAAACCCAGTATACATTTATATATTGCTGTGCTCAGACGCGCTGAGACAGTACAATACACAAAATAAAAGCTACCCAATAAATAAATTAATTAAACATAACATAAATACGTACATATATATATATATATAAATAAATATTTTATAATAAGATTCAATAACCAATATCTCACAATGGAGGACAAAATGGAAGAACCACAATCCCTCTACCCCCTTACAGGACCCCGAACTCGCTCGAAATCACAGGCGGAAGAAGAGGAATTCTCCTACTTACACAAGAACTTTTAATACGAACTATCCAGGATGGAAAAATTCTGCGGTAAATGGTGGAGCATTTCTGAAGAGACTCGCTCTGAAGCAGCACTTAAAATTTTCAAGGACCATCTGGAAAGACACATGGAACTAGTGGAGGCAGCCAACCAAAACCTACAGATGAGCAACGTGGAAGATGATAAGACACGCTCAGCATGCACAGAGGCCTACGAGACCACAAATGACAACTCAAGGCTCACGAAAATCCGAATAAGTGAGCTACTTAGCCAAATCCAACAAAATATGGATTCTTCCCGGTCAAACACCCCCATCACAAAGATGCCCCCCCTCCCCCCCAACACAAGCTGACTCCCTCAGCTTTTTCAAGGTACCTGCATGTGACAGAGAAGTCTTCTATGGAGGATATAAAGATTGGCCCTCATTTAGGGACATGTTCACAGCAGTGTACATCAACCACCCCCAACTATCCGAAGTTCAGAAACTGTACCACTTGAGGCAGAAAACAAGAGGTAAAGCGGCTCTCCTCATCAAAAATTACCCACTTACTGGCCACAATTTCTCGTTAGCATGGGATGCACTTAAGGCACGCTACGTACATAGAAGAATCGCAGTCAAGGGCCAAATAAAGACGTTGTTCAACATCCAACCTGCCCTCACAGAGAACGGAGAAAGGATTCAGCAGATCCAGACAACAATAAATAATTGTCTTTCTACCTTACAGGCAAATGGAGTATCTACAGAAAGCTGGGACTCCATGCTTGTCTACCTCTACTCCTCAAAACTGCCGGATAAAACACTAGCTCTCTGGGAGCAATCCCTCAACTCAAGGAAGTAGTTACCTCCATGGTCAGAAATGGACCAATTTCTGACGGCTCGGTACGGGGTCGTGGAGCGACTCATCACATACAGACCCAATAAGCCGAAGATCAGTCAGCCCAGCTACCCCCAACGGACACCAGCTGTCCCTCCCCCAACTCTCAAATATCGGAACAGAACCCAATTATTCCATACTCAAAACAAAAGGCAAGTTTCATGTAAACTATGCAATTCAAACCACTCTATGATAACGTGCCTCAAATTTCGAGAACGATCCGTCTCAGACCGGAACAAGTACATCAAAGACAACAGCTACTGCAAAAATTGCCTGGCGTACTCGCATTTGGAGAAAGATTGCAAAAGCAACTTTACGTGCGTTTACTGTCAAAGACGTCACCACTCCCTTCTCCATTACACAGCGAACCCCCACCCGCCTTACCCCCAAAACCTCAAAGAAACTTCACTACTTCTCAAATGACAGTTGAAGAAGAACAGCCCTGTACCTTTAAACAGGCAACAAAAAACTCAAAGGCAAATGAAAGCAGTAGAACAAAAACTCTATCCCACTATTCGAGCAACAAAGAAAGAACATTGCTTCCCACAGCAAATATTCCCATTATCCACAAAGGAGAAGTAGCTCACATCAGAGCTCTCATTGACCAAGGCTCTCAAAAAACTTTTGTGACGTCCCGTATACAAAGGTTACTTGATCTCCCCACCATAAAAGCCACCTACCAAATTCTTGGCATGAGCGGTAACACAGTCCAAAACTCGAATAGAATATGCTCTATATGATATGCTCAGCTAATCAGACAGTAAAAATCGCGGCTACAGCGATAATACTGCCTCAATTGACGCACACTCTCCCATCCTTCAAAATAAAAGAAGTAGATTTGACAGAATATCTCTCACTACCATAAGCAGACTCCAGCTAGAATAGACATGGTCGTTGGTAGTGATATAATCCCAAAAATACTCACCCCAGGCCTCAAAATTAATGTAGGCGGTAGCTTAAAAGCCTAAAACACAATATTTGGGTGGATATTAAGTGGACCAGTTGCGGAAGAAATCTCATCATCCTCTACTCAGGAAATTCTGGGAACAAGAAGAAGTACCACCGGACCCCACATACACAGACGATGATGAATATTGTGAAGCGCTCTACAAACAAACCACTCATCTGCGAGAAGATGGTCGTTATATAGTAAAGCTGCCATTCAAGTCGGCATTCCCGGACTCAATTGCACTCGGGCACTCCAGACCTGCAGCACAGCAGCAATACCTCAGCGAGGAACGAACCAATGAAAAGAAAGATGAAATTCGGAGCACCTATTCAGAAGGTCTAGAGGAATATCTATCGTTAGGTCACATGGCGCCAACCCATTCACGAGAAATCATACACGACGGTAAATATTTCTCCTTTTACCTACCCCATCACGCGGTGATCAAACCTGGAAGTAAAACTACTAAAGTCCGAGTAGTTTTCAATGCCTCAAAAACCTAATATTCCGGCCTCTCACTGAACGACGTGTTACATACTGGCCCCGTTCTTCAAAATGACTTAATGCTCATTATTCTAAAATGGAGATTATATAAGTAAGTATTTAACGGCGACATTGAAAAAATGTATCCTTTCATCTGTCGCGAAACTTTTCGACCCGGCAGGATGGCTATCGCCATTAATGATAGCAGCAAAAACTCTTCAGCAACTATGGATGGAAGGAACAGACTTGGACGAAACCGTGAAGCCGATCTCACTCTAAAAGTGGATCAGCTTCAGGAGAAATCTCGCCGCAATCGAAGAGATAAAGATACCTCGATGGGAGCAATTCAGCCCTAATAGTTCCATTCAGCTACACGGGTTCTCAGATGCTTCCGAGAAGGCATTTTGCGCTTGCGTATATTTACGAGTCCAGCAATGTGAAGCTGCTACATCCCACTTACTCGCAGCCAATAGTAAAGTGGCCCCCTTACAATCCGTTTCTCTCCCTAGGCTGGAACTTTGCAGGCGCAGTTTTACTAGCAAAATTAGTAAAGCAGATCCGATCCTCCCAGAATCTGCCATCTCATGAACTAATTTTGTGGACAGACTCCTCAATTGTATTGGCATGGCTGGAAAAACCCCCATGGACGTGGAAAACATACGTATCGAACAGGATATCTCAGATCCTCGACCTCGTGAATAACGCTACGTGGCGACATGTTTCTAGCGCTGACAACCCATCTGATCTAGGTATGCGTGGAGCTAAACCCCAAGAGCTCGTCAACTGTTCACTCTGGTGGAAAGGCCCTGAGTGGTTAACTAGGCCATCCTCTCTTTGGCCGAAAAGTTCACCGATTCATTCGCCCCCTCCCGAACAACGACAAATCGAAGCATTCCACACCTTAGAATACCCTGATTTTCTAGACCGTTTTTCTTCCTTTGCCACTGCTCTCAGAGTGACAGCATATATATTACGCTTCGCACAAAAGGCTAGGAAAATGCCAAATCCGCCCGCTACCACTCTCACTCAAACCGACTTAAAGCTCGCGAAAACTCGCCTCATAGCTATCACCCAGCGAAAATATTCCAAAAAACCATCACAACATTGGAGTCGAAATGTCCACTGGAAAAAATAGACCCTCTCCGTACTCTCAACCCCTGCATGGATAAAACAGGACTGTTGCGTGCAAATGGACGTCTCACTCATGCAGCCCTCAGCTACAGCGCCACCCAATTATCATACCCGATAATTCCCGATATTGTTCCCTCCACCTCGAGTTCCTCCACTCAACTCTACTGCACGCGGAAAAGCAGCTGATGATTCGTGTGATCCAACAGGAATACCATATTCCCCGAATCCGCCGAGCATCCCATTCCAAAGCATACGTGTGTGTATTCGTATGTTTCTCAACAAAGGCCATTCATCTGGAAGTATGCTCCGCCCTAACAACAGAAGCGTTTAAGGCAGCATTCGCACGATTTGTAGGACGAAGAGGCATTCCCCACAAGATAATGTCCGACAATGGAAAAACTTTCGTAGGAGCACAGCGAAGCCTACAAAGAGAACTATCTTTATTCCTTGAGGAAGTTTCGAACAAAACCACAACAGACTATGCCATTCACGGACTTACATGCCAATTAATACCGCCTTACGCTCCACATATGGGAGGACTTTGGGAAGCGGCAGTGAAAAGCTTCAGAACTCACATCACTAAAGTCGCTGGAAATCAAAAGTTCGCCTTCGAGGAGTTTACTACTCACCTAATACGCATCGAGGCGTTTCTCAACTCAAGACCACTCTCCCCTATGTCTCAAGACCCCGAGGACTTCAAGGTACTAACCCCAGGCCACTTCTTACGAGGCGCACCCTTACTCTCGATCCCCGAGCCAAATTCAGAAAACCTCTCACTTATTAATAAATGGCAAAAATTAAGAGTACTCCATCATCAGTTCAGCAAGCGCTGGAAAACTGAATATCTCCACCATCTTCAAAAACGCTATAAATGGAAAGGATCCCAGCGAAATATGAAGGAAGGTGATCTCGTCGTCATTAAAGACGACCTCTTACCCCCAAAACGAATGGCGACTAGGTCGCATAACGAAACTACATCCCGGACCAGACCAAAACGTTCGCGTGGTAGATATCCGCATTCAAGGCGGAACCGTCACCCGCAACTTAACCAAACTCTGTCTGCTGCCACCCGCTTAGCTTATACATCCCACCCTCCTTCTCTCTCGAAAAACTAAACTCCGCACCCCTCCATTCTCCATCATCTCATACTAAAATTGCTTTTCGATTGATGTCTTTCCAGATCACAGAACTTTGGAAAGCGCAGGCTTTGCTGCCGCACACATTCAATGCGTTTCTGCCGAGCGTTTATAGCAATGACCCCTGAAGAGCGATACGAGTCGGCCAAGGCGCATCGTTATTGCCTTCACGGTTTAGCGACATTTCACACCACGGGAGCCTGTGATAGCCCCGATAGCTGCCGCCGTTGCGGCCTAGGTCACCATACGATGCTTCATCGGTCAGGACATGACGGTCGCGAGGGCCAACCGAGAACGCTGAAGGTCACTTTCCGACCTGGTAACACTCGGCGCACCAAACAACCATCAAAGGCGACGCAACAACCAAGAAGCGCCAAATCACCAAGATTGATAGCTCGACAGTCTGCTCGAAGGACCGTCTCCCGTAATCCACCTGCCGTGCAACAAAGGATTCGCGGGTTGGTGAAAAGAGCCCGCGAAACACTGAAGCAGCTTGAAGACCTTGTCGAGGTATCGTCGCCGCAGGCCCGCCGGCATGTTGAACACATGGATGAGGATGACCTCATCATCCTATAATAATATATATATATTAAGAACATATACTTTTAATCATATGAATTACGAATAACATAACCAATAAAATGTTAATTAAATGAATATGAATCATCCCCTAAATACTTACCCGAATACTTACCTATATATTTACATGCATACTCACCTCACTGAATTTACTCCCATTCCAAACATACTTACCAGCAACCCTACTCCGTTCCGTTTTCTCTTATTCCTATAACTATGTAAAATAATAATGTAAATATAAACTATAAATAATTTAATAAAAATATATATTCTTGCTCGCTGTAAACAACTTCGTCAACAATCAAATTAATAAAGTGTTAAAGAAAGTTTGAATATAAAAAAAGAAATAAAAAAGGGTGTTATTATTATTTTTTAATTTGAAACTTCTACATCCTTAAAAGAGGCTTAGAGAAATGCACGCCCTTTCCAGACAGTGAAATCAAAATATGAGTGACAAGATTAGGGCCAGGTGTGATAAAGCGATGAACTCCGAAGGTTTTCAAGATGAAGATTTGTGGTTGCTATACAATCCACTACGGAAAAGGGGGTATCCTCGAAACTTCAATGCAATTGGGAGGGTCCATATAAGGTAATCATATGGATAAACGACTTACAGCCCTATTCTCACTGTTACCGGTAAAGTAAATTTTGTTACTTTTTTTAACACCCGAAATTGAGTTTGTTTTTCTGGCGAACTGGTTACTTGGGCAGCACTGCTTTTTTCGACCTTATCAAATTAAACTTACCAGTTGCTATAGTAAAAAAGAATAATATTCACATCAAAATTGAAGACGGTGCGCTTCGAAATAAATAAGTTTTATTTATGTGTTTATTAAATAATAAATACTTGAACCTAATTTTAGAAAATATGCCTAAGCGACAGAAAAAAACTGAATGAAAACGCTATCTTCCAAATTAAAAGGGTCATTTGTTTCTCGCAAACTTCTCAGCATGCTCCTTTTTCCACTTTTTTCTTCATCTTCAATGAATTCCAGGCATAAAATATGCCTACCAATTTTGGTTTTTATTTTTTCTCAAACTAACAACACAAAATCAAACAGTAGATTTTTTGTTACCTCCTTCTTACATACCTCCCAGCCATAGCAATCTATCTTGTGAGATCGCAATGTAAATGAAAAGTTGTTACGAAGAAAATCAAATCGCCGCTGGTTTCTACGGGACAACCGACAGTAACGGCGTCGGCAAGAGGTGACAACTTTTCATTTACATAGCGCTCTCATAAGATTCGTTGCTTTGGATGGAAGGTATGTAAGATGGGTAGTTGCAGTAATATATGGAAGATAATCGCACTGCAATTCGAGAACATATGAAACATTCTCAACAACAACAAGATTTCCATTTTTCCCTGAGGCTCCCGTGAAGATACTACAGTTGGTGTGGTAGTCTCATGCTTATATTCAATGAGAGCAATGGAGAGTAAATTCTGCAGCCCACCCTTCCATCGAGCTTTGAGCCGTCTGTAAAAATGGCTATGACTCTCTGATCAAAGACGTTGGTGGTTTCCCACTCATATGTGTTTGGGATTCTTTAAGGATGAAATGTCGAAGCAAGAGATTGTTCTGCCAGAGATAACATTTTTGTGTGTCCTTCACTGCGATTCGTCCATGGTTCAGTTGCATTCAATTTGATTGCGTTGCTGCTGGTTTGTAATTTCCCGTTAAGGTCCAAAGGAACGACGTTGAGAAGAAGTTGATGGCAGTTCAAACGTTACTAGAATAGCAGCCGAGAGTTGATCTCTCCCTTCAGTATCGAGGAAGATACCACGCTTATACTCCTTCAAGGCAAGTGCTTTTGCGAGGCATCCGACCAAATCAAGTAGGTCTTAGACTTAGAGTAATCATGTTCTATTCTCGATTGGCTGCTTAGGAGTAGATTTAGGTGTATATAGATGTCTAGCAACATCTCAAAATTTTTAAAGAGGAAATAGGTAAGACTAATGGGCCGAAGGACATGGTTGGCTTTTCCTCCTCTTGGGATAAAAGTTATTTTGACCCTAGCCCAAGCCTGGACCACCCTTCTACAAAAAACAATGCTGCTTTTATGACTGTTCCGCTGGGACTTCCGTAAAATGGGTGCTCATGAGCATGACCTGCATTTCTTCACAAGATCTAGTTGACATACCAGATGTAGTTTTTGATAGAGAAACTCTTTGAGAGAACTTTCGAACAGACTTACTTTCTGCACTTCCACTAATGTCGCTGCCCTCCAAGTCTGGTTTTGTTTTTCTTATAGATGTTTTGGAAGATTTTAGGGAAGCTTTATAAGTTTGCGAGTAATTTATTTTTATTAAAGATAGTGCGTTATTCCACCAATTGGTGTCAAACTCTACTGCCCCATCGACGATGAGTCAAGCTCACCGAGAGAAACATACCTTTCGCGAAATCCCACCACTTCAGCAGTTCATTAGTAATGCGTTAACAAATTTCTTGGTTACTGCTGACTCGACATCCTGCACTTAGCGGGGTTACCATGGCTTTACATTCATCCATACCATTTTGTTGTAACAATTCTTTGTATACTTTCAGCTCCGTATAACCTTGACCTTGCGATCGACGACAACATGTGCGAGGTGGGATAGATAACGAGAGCTGAAAAGGAAAGCAAGATGCATGCAGGTTAAAAAGAAAGAGGTCAAAATGCGTGAATATGAAGAGCTTTATAAGCAGGCCGACAAGAATAATACTCAAACGTTTTTAGCAAAAATACGGGGACTTACGGAAGATTTCAAGAGCAAGCCCTTGTATCACCCAGTAGCGTGATCTAGAGACGAACGCTCAGAGTATGTTGAATTTATGAATCGAACACTTTTCTAGTCTTCTGAAACGCAGTGAGAATGAAACTCCCAGAGATAGTGAGCCCGAAATCTCAATCAATGACGATGGAAACGACGCTCCGTTACCCAAATACGAAGTGGTCTCCCACCAAAAGAACAACAAATTGTCTGTTGCTTACGACCTACCGGCAGAGCTATTAAAACATGGCGGGGAAGAGCTGACAAGGTTCATGCATCAGCTTTCTTACATGTCGGAAAATGCGTACGTCGATTGGAACAGTCTGTTCCAATTACCATTGGTTTGCATATAAGATCCGTTCGAGCGTATTGTGTGAAGGATTAAAGTCCGCCGGCAACAAACAGATTGGACTTCGTCAGTGTGGCTTTAGACTAGGTAAATCAACCATCGACCAGGCATTCACTTTGCGCCAAATCCTTTAAAAGACCCTTGAAAAGAGAGTTGACACACACCACCCCTTCGTCGGCAATGACGTCATTACTGACAGTCAAAGTTTGAAGTCGTACATACCTTCGCCTATCTTGGAAACAGTATTGACAGAAACAACAGGTACATTGGAGTAAGTAAGCTATCGAAAGTAAAGTCCTCTCTCGACGAACGAAAACCAAACTACAAGTTGGTTATCGTTCCCGCTGCTATATGATGCGGAGGCATGGACGATGACAACATCTGATGAGTCGGCATTAGGAGTTTTCGAAGTTCTTGCGTGAGATTTACGGTCCTTTGCAAGTTAGATACGGCGATTACAACCGCCGATTGAATGATGAGCTATATGAAAGATGCGGCAACAATCATATAGTTCAGCAAATCAGCTACGCTGGCTAGGTTATGTTAACCAAATGGACAGGGATACTTCAGCTTTGAAAGTCTTCGATGCAGTATCCGTCAAAAGCAGAGGAAGACCTGGCTCTACTTAGTATTTCTAATTGGCGCCAAATAGCGAAGAAAAGAAACGAATAGCGCAGTGTTAGCAGTGTCACCGCCAGCAAAGTAATTAGATCCGTTTGCAGACGAAAGTTTAAGATCTTGTTTTAAATGATTTGATTTTTGGAGATGGTATCACCGAAATAATTTTGCCTGTATCAATAAAGAAATTTAGTTTGTTAAAATCATCAAAGACAAAAAGCTTATTAACATTTCCTTTATTAGTTTTAGTTCAAAGAATTTGTCCATGAAATATTTGTGTTTAATTTAATATTGAAATGTTGTACATAGGCGCATAAAAAAATATCCTTGGTGCATAAAATTCTAAATTATTTATACGGGACTCAAATTTTTAAAGGGAAGAGAAACACATTTAAACGTTGAAAATAGATAAATTATTCAATCCAAGATATCATCAGTTGTCTTCACTGATTTCTGTTTGTACTTATCAATTATCATTAGAGTGAAATCAATTTAATTTCAATACAATTGATCAACAATATCAACAATATTTTATCTATCAGAACAGAACAGCATAGTATCCTCAGATTTTTATCATTTACAATGAACTTTAATTAGTCTTTAAATACGTCACAAATTTTTACACAAGCCATTCATTCACGTACATGTAACATATCTTGAAGATAATTCTTACAAATCAATTAAAATACCTTTGGAATGAATGTCCTGGCCCATGGTTTTTACTTGTTGAAGGACAATTTGAAATTGACAACATTTATAATGATAATATTAAATTTCAAAATGTTTTAATTCATCTTCAACGAGAAACTGTTTTCAAATTTATTATCAATGTTATTAATCCACCTCCGTTTTCGAATAAATACAAAACCATTAAGAAAGTTCTTTGTGGGAGATTTTCTCTTAGTGATCTTAGTGAAGAAAAGAGATTGGAACAATAATTTTCAAATACTGAACTTGGTGATCGTTCACTTTTAGAGCTTTTTAGATATAAGAATACGTTAAGTGGTTCAAATTCAATTGTTAGTCACGAATTACTGTTTAAATTATGGTTTCTGAAGCAACCTCAACAATTAACAAATTAAGTTTTTTTTTTGATTGATACAGGCGCAATAGTTTTAGTTATACCATCTCCAAATTTAAATCTTAAACTTTCGGCTGTAAACGGATCTAATATAGAAAAATTTCGATCAAAACCTTTAAAACTTGATTCGGATTTAAAAACAGATTTCGAATTACCATTTATAATTACCGATATACCGACTCCAACTATTTGTGCTAGTTTTTTTAAAAAATTAGGAATTATGGTAAAGAAATAACAGATTTAACAACTAAACTTTAAATTTCTGAATGAACTGGTTTTTGTGACATTTTCTCACTTCAAATTTCCATTATTGGAAA